GCCGACGGCAAGTTACACCCCGTCACCTTCCATTCGAGGAAAATGTCGCCACCCGAGATGAACTACGAAATCCACGATAAGGAACTCCTGGCGATTGTTGACAGCTTTGACCGCTGGAGGATTTACCTTGAAGGCGCCAAACACAGGATTGAAGTCTTTTCCGACCACCAAAACCTGGCCTACTTCACCCATGCGAAGGTCCTCAATCGCCGACAAGCACGTTGGGCCATGCAGCTAGCCAACTTTTGGTTCATCATCAACTACCGACCGGGTCACCTCAACGCTAAAGCCGACGCCCTTTCCCGTCAGGAAAGTTTCAAACCTGAGAAGGAAGAGAGGGGGGGGGGGGGGGGGGGGGGTGAAGACCAGCCGATCACGTCGGTCTTGCAAGAAAAGCACTCCGCACACTCTGAGGGAAGCAATTTCCTCTTATCCAAAGAAAGGCTCTGCAGTATTTCGACCCCTCGATGGAACGATGAGTTTATCAACCAACTGAAGGAAGCAAGGAAATCAGACTCCGCCTATCTCGAACAGCTCAACAGGGACGAACCTGATAAGGATTACGAGAAGCTTGACGACCTCCTGTATCGAAAGAATCGCCTTTGGGTCCCCGAGGCCCTGCAAACAACGGTCGTCTCCTCGGAGCACGATACCAAGATCGCAGGCCACATGGGAATGGATAAGATCATGGAACTGATCACCAGAAACTTTTGGTGGCCAAAGATGGAAGAATCGGTCCGTGAGTACGTCCGAGGCTGTCATGAATGCCAACAGAACAAACCTCTCAGGCACTTCCCTCACGGCTTACTACAATCCATGGAGCTTCATTACGTCCCTTGGCAGTCAGTCGCGATGGAATTCATCACAGACCTACCCCTTTCCAACGGCTGCGATTCCATCTGGGTTATGGTGGATCCCTTCACAAAGATGGCTCACTTTATCCCCCTCAAGGTCAACGGAAGAAAACAGAGGACCTCATCAGGATTTTTGCCCGCTCTTATTGGCGACTACACGGAGTACCCTTGGACATTATTTCCGACCGCGACTCAAGGTTTACAGCCCACCTCTGGATGGACTTCCTGAAGCTCGTCGGCATCAAGAGCCGTATGAGCACGGCGTTCCATCCCCAGACTGACGGCCAAACCGAGCGGCTCAACCAGATCCTTGAGGTTTACCTTCATGCCTCCGTCAACTACGAAATGAACAATTGGGAAGACTTGCTGGCCAATGCCGAGTTCGCATGCAACAATACCATCTCTTCGTCGACTGGCATCTCCCCGTTCTACGCCAACTACGGTTATCACCCTGCTTCACACAACCCCCCTGACGGCGCTCCTCGTAACCCTGGAAGTCGTCTTTACGCCCACTGGATGACCCAGGTTCACGATCACGCCCAGAAACATCTCGACCGCGCCCGTCAGAGGATGAAGGAGTGGGCCGATAAGAAACGAACGGAGGCACCGGTCTATGAGGTGGGACAGTTGGTTATGTTGAACGGTAAGCACATCAAGACCAAAAGACCCTCGAAGCTTGACAGGAAACTCCACGGCCCCTTCAAGATATCTCAGGTGATTTCCCCTACCGCTGTCCGTCTTACCTTACCCAAATCCTGGCGTATCCATGATTCCTTCCACGTCTCTCTCCTGGAACCCTATCGCGCTGGCAATTAGGTAACCCCTGATCCTGACCAGGTCCTGCGAGAGGCAGCCCCAGCAGAGTTAGAAGACTATGAGGTTGAGAAAATATTGGACTCCATAGATATTAAAGGGAAGGTTGAGTATCAAGTCAAGTGGGAAGGTTGGAACAG